TATTTATTTATTTATTTATTAGGGGTGCAACAATCTTTATATTAAGGGCCATCAGTCAAACAATACAATGTTTGGTCTGGGTCTAAACAGAGCATATTGTGTGTGATGTCTTCTTTTGCGCATGCGGGCCGCTTTGAAGCTTCACACTAGAGCGCGTTTGCTGTCACATTTTATTTGTAGTGTGAACAAGCAGACAAAAAAATCGGATTTGATCAAAAAATCGGAATTGAGCATTAAGACCTGCAGTGTGAACGTAGCCTTAGACCATGGCCCAGATTTGTGAGGTGAGTGAGTGGGTTGTGGGGGGGATAGTGTTTGTTTACAGGGGGAGAAGTTGTTTGTGAGTCTGGAGGTGTGGTATGGCAGCGGGTCATGCAGGTGGTGGGCAAGGGGTCCCTGTGATGGCCCTGGTTTTCCTGAGACAGGAGGATCTGGTAATGTTGTCCAGAGGTGGTAGAGGGCAGCCAATGATTTTTCGGTTGTCTGCGCAGCCATCCTGTTCTCAGTAGTGGCCCCAGTGTACCAAACACCCAGGCAGTAGGAGATCACCCTCTCCACTGAGGAGCGGTCCTCAATCCGGACTAATTGAGGCTGGTTTATGAGGAAATCTTGAAAATTTTGAAATAATATTAATAAAACATAAAAATATATGGTCCAAAGTTTGAACATGTATAACAAGTGCTGTGAAATCCAGATAAGTTGAGTTTGTAAGTTTGTAGTTTACTTTGTTGTTTGTTTTGTTTTTGCACATAGAAAAGTGCAAGCGAACTGAAATACGTCACGACTAACCACATGGTAACATCCAGTCTTCTTATTGGCCAGATGTGTTAGGGGCAGGGACAACGGTGCAAATACAGGAAGGTGCTGACAAAGGTAGTTGTCCAAGTAATTATCAGTAAAGCAATGCAAAACAAGGAGTCCATCATTGTTCCTGTCCCGAAGAAACCCCACCCTGCTTCTCTCAATGACTATCGCCCTATAGCCCTCACCTCAGTAGTGATGAAGTGCTTTGAACGCCTGGTCAGAGACTTCATCATTTCTTCACTACCAGACACACTGGACCCACTACAGTTCGCTTACCGTCCAAATTGTTCCACAGACGATGCCATCTCTCATCTCCTCCACACATCACTTACTCACTTGGACACTAGAAGGGGGAATTATGTTAAAATGCTCTTCATAGACTACAGCTCTGCATTTAATACCATAATTCCCTCCACACTCACCACCAAGCTGGAGCATCTGGGACTCAGCTCATCTATGTGTCAGTGGATCTCCAACTTCCTAACTGGCAGACCACAGGCAGTAAGGATGGGCGGACGTGTCTCAGCCTCCACCACTCTCAGCACTGGAGCCCCCCAGGGGTGTGTTCTGAGCCCCCTGCTGTACTCTTTGTACACATATGACTGTGTGGCCACTACCAGCTCCACCACCATCATCAAGTTTGCTGGCGACACCATCGTGGTGGGCCTGATCTCTGACAACAATGAGGCGGCCCACCTGAAGGAGATTAGGAATCTGGAGAACTGGTGCCAGAGGAACAACCTCCTTCTAAACGTCAGTAAGACAAAGGAGTTGATAGTGGACTTCAGCACTAAGCAGGAGAGGAACTACCAGACCCCCGTCATCAAGCTTCAAATACCTCGGAGTTCACATCACGCAGGACCTGTCGTGGTCCTGTCACATCAACACCGTGGTGAAAAAGGCCCGACAGCATCTCTACCACCTCAGACGCTTGAGAGACTTCCAACTGCCCTCCAAGGTGCTCAGGAACTTTTACTCGTGCACCATAGAGAGCATCCTGAAGGGAAACATCTCAACCTGGTTCGGGAACAGCACCATGCAGGACAGACGAGCTCTACAGAGGGTTGTGCGTTCAGCTGAGCGCACCATCCGCTCCGAGCTCCCTGACCTGCACTCAATCTACAGCAGGCGGTGCTGGACCAAGGCCAGGAAGATCGTGAAGGACCTCAGCCATCCCAACAACAGACTGTTCTCTCTGCTGAGGTCAGGAAAGCGATTCCGCTCCCTGAAGACCAACACAGAGAGACTGAGGAGGAGCTTCTTCCTGCAGGCGATACGGTCTCTCAATCACACCACCACACAGTACTGACCCACACATATGGTTCTTACGCACACACTGGACATTCTGGACATTGTTTTCACTTCATCACTTAAATCACTTTAAGCATATTTGCACTGCACAAGACACTATATAATGTGGATCTTCATTTCCATTTAATACTTGTACAGCTGCTGTTATTGTGTATATATATTTATATTTCTTCATACATTCTTATATATTTCTATACTGTATATTGTGTATTTTGTTGTACAGTTATTTTATTTTCAACTTTAATTTATATATTTTATCTTATTCTTTCCCAGTTAAATTTATCCTTCATTCTAATTTGTGTTGTACAGTTATTTCATTTTTAACTTTAATTTTTATATTTTTATTTTATTTTATTTTATTCCTTCCTAGTTAAATTTACCCTTTTTAATTTTCATATTTATTTCCTATCTTATTCATAGCCTTTTCATTTTTCTGTAGGTCACGAGCAGTTGTGTAAGCATTTCACTGCATATCGTACTGTGTATGACTGTGTATGTGACAAATAAAATTTGAATTTGAATTTGAACCTTGTTGCTTCTCAGATTAACCCTTGATTGAGTTTAAGGCTAGTTACTACAGTTCATGCACTCTGCTCTATGGTAATCTGTCACATAAGATAAGATAAACCTTTATTAGTCCCACACATGGGAAATCTTTTGGTCATGGCAGAAAGTACAAGTTTAAGAGCAGTAAAACTTAAGAAAAACACAAAAGAATACAATAAGATAAAATAGAATAACATACTATTCCTCAAGAATAAAATACTGTAGTAAATAGAATAAAGTGCTCTATTATAGTAGGAAAATTGCCTTTGGTGATATTGCACATCAGGGAGACAGTTACAGTTGTGTACAGGATGTGTGTCTGTCTGCACATGTGTGGTCATCTGCAGAGACCATGCTGTAGAGTCTGACAGCAGTAGAAAGGAGAGACATGCGAAATCTCGCCGTCCCACATCGTGGGTGCAGCAGCCTGCCACTGAAGGAGCTGCTCAGTGCTGTCAGAATCTCCCAACCTGTGCCTGTGGAAGTTTACCACCAGCTCCTTGGTTTTTCTAGTGTTGATCTGGAGGTATTTCTGCTGGCACCAGTCCACAAAATCTTGGGTCAGTTCTCCGTACTCCCTGTTGTCCCCATCAGTGATGAGGCCTAATATTGCAGAGTTGTCAGAACTTCTGCAGGAAGCACGGGGTGGAGTTGTGGGAGAAGTCTGCATTAGAGTAATTACTTTATGGCGTACCCCCATAAAGTAATCACTCTGGAGTTCAGAACTGGACTGAGATCACCCCAAAGGGTCCCAGTGTGGTTGCTTTTGCCTTACGCCTAAGTGAATTTACTGTGTTCACATCTGCGAAAATTAAGTTCACAACAGCAGAAAAAAGAATGAAAAGGTATGGAAACACCCTAAGATTTAAGATCTAATTCAATGATGTTATGACTGTGCCTGTCTTCACAGCGGATATTTGGAGAAGCATCTGAGAAGAACCTCTACCTCTCTCAGCTCATCATTCTAGATACCCTGAAGAAGTGCCTGGCTGGGGTGAGCTTTACCCTCTCACAATATGGTTTTGTTGTGTCAGGGAAAAAAATTCACTTGAGCAAACTTAGTTATGTCTAAGTGACCTCATCTTATTGAAGACCATATCTAACTAAGGCAACATTGACTTGACAGTGAAATTTTCTTTCCGTAATTTGTCAGTAGATGGCACTATAATACAGTGTAACGCTTGTGATCTTGAGGGCCAATTAAATGAGACAGTCTAACCTATGAAGTGCCACTCCTGTTGCATAGGAGCCGTGACACCAGCAGCTTTGTTCAGCAAAATGTAGATAATGTAGTTCATGAGACTTGCTTTATTTCACTTTGACTGTATAATATAGATATAATAGAGCTTACATTAAGTATATTCATTTTAACACATTAAATATATTTTTATTAAAATTACCGGTGGAATTGGTAGAAGTTAACTCAGTTGATATATACTGTGCTTCAGTAAAAAATTGAAGTACATTCACTTCCATTCTATATCATTTTATAACTTCTTTTACTCTACTAGGCTTCATCTCAGAGACGAATGTTGATCTTTTAATATATTTTAATATATTGTAACCACTACACCCCAATGCAATATGTGTTTAGTTTGTTTAAGTCGACATGTTCACTGGATAACTTTGTATCACTGGAACACTATTCACTTGTTAGACTCTTGCAGCAATATTTGGCTGTAGAAGGAGAAACTCGAGTAATAAGTCTAGTTACAGACTTTGTCAGTACAAGAAAATCAATTTCTTACCATCTAACAGGAGATTTGAGCTTATGTGTTAAATCTAGACCCTAGGTTGTTAACTGCAAACCCCTCTGAAGCACAACAAGGCATTGGGTCAAACTTTTCAACCAATTTCTTTAGCAGTTCTTGGTGCTAAGAGTGCCAACATTCGAGGGCCATGTAGGTTTGGGGCACTTTTTTTTGCCTTAATAAATTAAATCATTTAGGAGCTTTTTGTATTTACTTGGCTTATCTTTATCTAGTATTAGACTTTGTTTGATGACCTGAAACATGTGAGAAATATATGACAAACTAAGAAATCAGGAAGGGGGCAAATGGTTGTAATAGTATATAGTGCAAGAACATCAAAGATTTGATTTGACTTTGTGTGAGTAGAAACTGTAACAGACACATTGAATATCTGGGGTATAGTGGCAAGTTGTTGTCAAATTTAGGCTTCACTATCACTACTATTTCTACTACTATTATGTAGTGTAACTCAGAAGTTATTCAATGTCTCTGTTGCTGTTTCTCCTCATGCAGACACAAACCCCTAAGTACACTTCTCTTTCATGAATCTTGCTCCCCATGACCCTGGGATTGGTTTACCTTTGGCTTTCACAAAAATGACTGAAGCCTGGTACTTCTCAGTAGTTTGTGCTAGGGCTGTGTTTGTAATTTCAAATAGCTTCCCAATCAAAATGCCATTTCACATCATTGAAACATCATGTAGCCCTTTTGTTGATTGCCCTCCTCTTTGTTTTCCCTTCTCAGCAATCCAAGGACTGCTTGCGTCTGGATGAAACCATGCTGGTCAAACAGCTGCTGCCAGAGATCTGCCATTTCATTCACACGTATCGCGAGGGGCACCAGCACCAGCATGCTGCTGAGCTACGAGCCTCAGCTTCGGCTGTCCTCTTCTCTCTGAGCTCCAACAACTTCAGCGCCGTTTTTAGCCGCATTTCGACCAGGTAGCACATTCACCTAAGTCTGTCATTTGTTGTGTAAATATATAAAATGAAAAGAAATTAACCAGTGGCATAGAGGGTTTGAGGTTGAAAAAATATATCAAATCTTTTAATGAGTTGAATGATTTTCTAACTTCTCAAAGAAGTCCAATGTGCCTGCTCAAATTTTATTTTATTTTTTTAAAAAGTGTGAATTTAGTTCAGTGAATTAGATAATTATTAGTTTCAAACGTGTCTTTGACAGATTTCTAAACTGTTTGAAGGTCTATGATTTATTTCAAAACGTGGAGCATTTACAAATTATGGGATATGTGTCATGTATCACACATTTGCTGATGAAATTTTTATAGTTCTTTTTTAATATGATTATTATATCAAATTAAGTTTTACTGGCATAGGGTCCATTCCTATAGTATTATAGGGTTGTGCTGTAGTATGAATAATGAATATTCAGTTATTTGGTCAGCAGAGAGTACCTCTGATTTCCAGATTAATCTTTTAAGCTCTCTTTTCTTTATGCCTTGTTCTTTGTAACGGCTGAACAGCAGAATTCACTCCTTGTCTTTTCAGGCTTCAAGAGCTGACCGTCTGCTCAGAGGATAACGTTGATGTTCATGACATAGAGCTCATGCAGTACATCAATGTGGACTGCTCTAAGCTGAAGAGGCTGTTACAAGGTTCGTTTCTAATGCACTTACAGGTTTACATTTGGGGCTATACTATTTGTAAACAGACTACAGAATTATTAGAAGAATAAAATTTTATTGAGAAATTATGAAATAGAGATGTTAAAGAAAAAATTCTGTTTGGCTTTCTTCTCTTAGAAACTGTAATGAAGTTCAGAGCTCTAAAGAAGCCTGCCCAGCTTGCCGTCATCAGCAGTTTAGAGAAGGTAATTTTTTTCTCTTTGTAAAAGTGCAAAATAATTTTAAGCATGATATCAGTGAATAATGCAAATGTGACACTTCTTTTTCTTTTTTTCAGGCATTTTGGAACTGGGTGGAGTGTTACCCAGATGAGTTCACCATGCTGTACCAGCGACCACAGTCAGATATGGCAGGTATGAAAAGAGTTAAATACAATATTAATATATAAGATGATGGAGAAGAAATAATTACCCCCATATCTGGGAAGTTATTTTCTTAGAACGGTTGATATGATTGTGTATTATTACAACTGTTTTAGTAATAGTAATAATGAAACACACACACAGACAATACCAAACAGCTATCTTGTAGCAGCTGAGCTGATTTAGTCTGTTATGCCGGGCTCACACTGTGCGATTTTTGGCCCATTTTGAGCCGATTTTTGAGTCGTGCGACCGTTTTGGCGATCGGCCCGATTTTGGCCTTCATCGTGCATCGTGTAGTATACGTGGGGTAACGAGAAGCGATTAACACCTCACGACCAGCTCCCGATCATCAATCGCTTGGTCGTGAAGGTGTCACCTCAGTTTCTCACACTGCGCACGCGCAAACACAAATGTCAGCGAAAAAGACGGCGCAGCACGGCAGTGCAGCGTGTGATCTGGACACAAGCGATGGAGGCACAACTTGTAGAACTTTGGAAAGCTCATCCGAGCCTTTTCGATGTGGCCTCACAAAATTATCACGACCACAACAACCGTGAAAATAGTTGGATGGACATTGCTGCTCAATCACAGCTGCCTGATCATGTTTTTCATTAGTAATTTAGCAAAGTTGATGGTGGTGGTGTGCGTGTCTGTGTGAGTGAAAGACAGAGTTAGAGCAAGCGACAGAACTTCTGTTATAACCTTCATTTTATGGACGCACAGTGTGAGCACTCGGGTCGCATCAGAGCATCGGGTCGTATAGTGTGAGACCTGCATCGTGACCTACGAACTTCTAACCCCTGCGAGTCAATCGTACAGTTTGAGCAGGAGCTGAATCGCGCGACTGACAAAATCGCACAGTGTGAGCCCGGCATTAGAGAAAAAGCTTCCATGCCTGCTTAGTAAGTGGTACAGAGGGTGTGCAGTGGTACTGTATGCATTGGCAGTGTTTGAATATACTGATGGCACATTTGATGTACTGTAGAAATGTTCTATTCTCTCCAGCGATATATGTTTAAAATAATCAGTAAGAGCAATAAAAGCTTTTGAATGGCATTCTACTGTGGAACAAGTGACATCACTACTACTGCTGGTTCAGCTGATGGTTGAATGGAAACAGTAACAGCAGTAAAAGATGACAGGTCCCTTTGTAAGTAGTAGTAGTTGAAGAGTAGTTCAATAGCCATCAAAAGATTCTTTTAATTTTCTAGATGTTTTTCTAATGTTCTAGAATATATAAGTAATGAAAAATATTGTCAGCTGTACATGTTTTATTTCAAATTTAACATCCATGATAGTGGCTTAAAAAATTGACTGGCATTAAATGTGTGTATTTATGTCTTTGTACAGAAGCTGCAGAGAAGTTGTTTGACCTGGTGGACAGTTTTGCAGAGAGTACCAAGAGGAAGGCAGCGGTGTGGCCACTGCAGATAATCCTCCTCATACTCTGTCCAGAGATTGTGTGTGTAATCTCCAAAGACACAGTGGAAGAAAGCAAGGCTAACAAGGTGTGACAGAAGAACACACAGAGATAAAACAGAGTTTGATTCCATTCACATTTTAATTACACACTTTTCTGTCATTTTGTATCTGCAGAAACTTTTTCTGGACAGTTTACGGAAAGCTTTAGCAGGGCAAGGTGGAAGCAAACAGCTGATGGAGAGTGCTGCCATTGCTTGTGTCAAACTTTGTAAAGCCTCTACTTACATCAACTGGGAAGATCATTCCACCATTTTCCTCCTGGTCCAGTCCATTGTCATGGATCTCAAGGTCTGACCACTTTCTGCAAAGCATTTATCCTGTTTGTTAAATCTTAGGTTGTGTTAATACTGTTTATTATTACATAGTGAATAGTAATGAATCTTTACACATCAAAGATGAACGCGCACATCGTGCCTACATACTGGACATAAGTCATCACTCAAATATGTTTCTAAAGGGGTGTACATATTCTGGGAAAAATAGTTTGAGCAGCACGGTGGTTAGCACTGTTGCCGCACAGCAAGAAGGTCCTGAGTTCAATTCCCCCATCAGGCCGGGGTCTTTCTGTGTGGAGTTTGCATGTTCTCCCCATGTTTGCGTGGGTTCCCTCCAGGTACTCCGGCTTCCTCCCACCGTCCAAAGACATGCAGCTTGTGGGGATAGGTTAATTGGATAATCCAAATTGCCACTAGGTGTGAATGTGCGAGTGAATGAGAGTGCGAATGGTTGTCTGTCCCTATGTGTTGGCCCTGCGAAAAACTGGCGACCTGTCCAGGGTGTACCCCGCCTCTCGCCCTATGACAGCTGGGATAGGCTCCAGGGCCCCCTGCGACCCTGAAAAGGATAAGCGGAAGCGAATGGATGGATAGTTTGAGCATCGAAACCAAACTGATTTTTTGAGATTTATTGAAAGAAAGTTCAAAACTTTGCAAAAGGATCAATATACAGAATCTGTACCAGCACTGACCAAAAGGCAAAATTATAGCAGCTTCTTTATAGCCATTGTCTGGATACAGTCTTTGTCTATTCAGTGGTTGGGAGGGAAATTCTCACCATCATGTAGGCACCAGCTAGATAATGAAGTCATGGCCTTGAGCAAAGTTTACAGTCAGTTGTTTTCCTGTCTTCATTCACTCCTTTGTACAATAAAGTTATAATTACATATCAATAGTACATAGTGGTTTGATGAGGTAAAGTACATATTTTCCATCACATTTCAATCCTTTTGGTTATTTTTAATCAGACATTCTCAGCAAAAAATATCAGTAATAATACAAAGGAAAACCCTCCAAAAATATCAGATTCGCGCGTAGAGTTTAAGCGATTATGTTTTGCCAAGTCATGAGACTAGTCGCATCTATTTGCTCTCATACAGCTTTGAGTCGATGTCTAGAAGAATTAATCTTTCCTGTTTCTAATAAATGTAATTTATCCACTCTGTATTTTTGTTGTGAGACTTTAACACTTCTAGCATCCAAATAACACAAATATGTAAAATGACTTCACCTATCAAAATATTAAATGGACAAAACCTTGATCTTAGAAAAAATGTGCAGAGCACCAGATTACTTCCAGTTTTAGTTCTTGCGTTTGCCCTTCAAAGTATTTAACAGAGTTGATCCACTTCCTAATATTTCACTTGTTTTAAACGTGTCACTTGTCTGAGCATCCATGTAAAAGTTCCAACTGCTTGCTGCTCAGGTTACTGGCGTATGCACAGTCTTATCTGTCTGATTTTAGAGTGTGATGAGTCTTCAGATTTCTTTGCCGCTCAGTGGACAACAGGCGCAGCGCCTCGTCTCCTCGCCTCATGTCGAGTGTGCTGAGTTCTCACTGTAACTCCCTCTAAGCTGAATAACGGACACGTGGCATTCTTGATTTCTTCTGGCATTTAGTGGACACAGGTGCCACCAATGATGCGTTGAGAACTGTACAAAACAACATAAAATAATCAATTTTCATATAGTATAAACAATAAAGCATGTTATTCAACATGAAAAAGACATTCACAATTTGACCTTTTACAGTTCTTAATTTAACCTTTACAAAATGTCAACACATTCTGTACATGACTAACATAAACTCGACAGATCTGTCACAAATAAACTTATAATTAAAAAAAATAAACAAATAAACATCTTGTTTTCATACCAACACATAAAATACAAATTGCATACCCCAACTGCTGCTGACGGCAGCCACAAAAAAAGGCTTATGTAGGCATAGATGTACTACCTGCAGTTTTTATACCTGTACATGGATTGTTAGTTACACAAATGATAGAAAAATTGCAAAAAAACCCATTTGTAAAGTAAAATTTGTTCTTCTTCTGTAGCTTTGGCTACGTCCACACGTACCCGGGTATTTTTGAAAACGCAGATTTTTCTATGCGTTTGCACCTTTCGTAAACGGCGTTTTTGGTCACTGAAAACTGAGAATTTTTAAAACTCCGGCCAGAGTGGATATTTTTGAAAACTCAGTTTTTGCATTTACGTGTGGACGAGAAAAACAGAGAAAACGCAGCGTCAAAGGTGTGCGCCTTTTTTGACGTCACACTGTGCGCCACGTTATTGTTTCGGTGAAATGAATTTCTACAATGGCGGACGTAGACAAAATACTGTTAATTGTACTCTCTGCAGTGTTTAAATGCTTACATATACACACACAGTTACTCTCCCTCCACACATAAGACTCGGTTCTGCTTCTATGCGCCATCTTTGTTTACTCCTTCCCACCGAGGCTTCTAGACTTCTGATTGGTGGATAGGATATATAGCGCCACCTGCTGCTTTGGCATTATCCTAGCAGCATTTTCCTTCGTTTTTGGCTTTTACGTGTGGACGGGATTTTTTTTTATAAACGAAAACGGAAAATCTTCGTTTTCAAAAATACCCGTGTACGTGTGGACGTAGCCTGTATTTGTTGTACCATCCTGCCTTTTCCTTCTCATGTGTCAATTTAGCACAATGAGGAGAATGAAAGGAAAATAAATGTTGGGTACATATGTTTTGCTCTGAGTAGCCTGTAAATTGTTGTTAGGAGATGAAGTTAGTGTTGGTCTGGTTCCAGATTTTGTTTAAGTGCTGGCTCTACCACTGTCTCCACGCTATAGTTGCCTAGAGAGTTTTATAAACTTCACATTTACAAACAGCTGCAGCTTATGGGAGTAATCAAGGATCCAGAAATGCAGCTTTTTTGCGATGTGCAATGGATTTACCTGAATCAGTTAAAAACTTTTATTTCCATGTGACAAAATGTATCATATATCACCCTATGTGTTTATGTAGAATCAGTGTAAATGGTGACTGATCTTAAGTGATTTTACTTGCTTGTTCTAATGCTACAAGCTCAGCAACTTAAGCTGAATAGCGATATGGTAAAGAGCCTAATTCCAAGATGTTCTGTGCACATCCTACTTTTTCACTGGTGTCTGGGTTGCATTATGCCGAATCGTCCACAAAAACCTTCAGATTAAAGTTAGCCAGCAGTGCATCCTGTAGGTCAGGTCTGGGTGAACAGATTCCAGAAATGGCTGCTATAAAATCATGTGGTTCATCAGTGATGCTGGGTTTAAAACAGTACATCTTTTCACTGTGATATTTGGCATTTTTCAATAATACAGTGTGATGCCAAAACCAAGAAGCAGCTAGTAAATACAGTTTATTCTCAGTGCGATCAGTGACACAGAATGTGGCAAATAAAAGATTGAGTCTGGATTGCCCACAAGCTCATGTGAAGCTAGAGATTCTTTTCAGCTGCCACTGCTCGCAGGTGGAGGAAGGCCTGCTGGTCTCGTCATTCTTTTAGTCTATCATGTCCAGTCATTCCCCTCCGATGTATCATTGCTGATGATGGTGCAGCGCACTGTACTATGTATATGACATACATATGATGTCATAGCAAAAAGTCAAAGTAAACTTTATTGTCATTTCTGCTGTATACAGTACAGTTTATAGAGAGACGAGACGACGAGGCTCCAGTTACATTCATTCCAAAAGACAAACAATGAATAAATAAATACATCAATAAAATAAATAAATAAAAAGAAATCTTTGTGACTTTGGAATGGGTTGGATCGCTGCAATCCTTTTTAGACAGAGGGTCTGACCATGTGGTGTGAACATGTGTCCCAGAGAGGTGAGAGGTGGCTGTTCTTAGTCAGGTGTTTTATAGCCCTTTAGTTTCAATCTCACAAGCCCACTTAAAAGGAGAACAGATTATTAAGTCATCGACCGATCAAAAAATGTGGGCCCCTCCAGAGGGATAAAACCTGACAGGTTTTCTTTAAGTCCACTGTTAACAAGTGTTGGGGTCTGGTTTAGGCCTCAACACAGCAATTTGTTTGCTTGGTGAAACTGGCAATATGGTGTGGCGGTTGTTTGCAACACAAACATTTGTTGTTAGATGCTTTCAGAACACCTAATTTGTGATGTTTTACCCCTGGAACGTCAGTTTCTTTCAACAGTTTGTACTGTTGCATTTATGTTAGCCACAGCCCCAATCGTTTTGTTCAGTCTTTGAAAGAGAAACGCGTGAAATGCTGTCATGTAGTCTATAAAAACAGTTCAGTGAGAATTACCCTGGCTGTACACTTATCTTTTGTCAAATAGACAGTTTTTTCTCTCTCGAACTGCTCATCAGCTCCCTTCCCATGTGCTGTTACATGTAGCAAGTTTGTTCCCATGTAATCAAAGTCAAATTTAGCTTCAATGTCAAAAACTATACATACAGATCATACACAGGAATTTGAAATTGCTGGGCTTCCACAGCCCTCAGTGTTACACTTAAACAAACATAAAACATAAAAATCTTATATACAATCTTATATATAGATGAGATTGTATATAAGGTGTGTGTGTGTTGGTGTGCAAGCTTCACCAGTTCATCAGAAGCAGGAATAACAGCAGTTTGTTTGAGTCTCCACTCACATGCGTACAGCGGTGGATCTGAGTCACATTTAACCATCTGCAACATTCTGGTGTTTTATTTTATGTTCCCCTGACATGATGACGATCGGTTAGTTTACATGTCAAATCTTAATCCTGCAAGTTGACAGGACAGCATGATAACAGAAATGCATGTTTGAAAGATCCAAATAAAAGATCAGTGCCTTCATATTGCATTTTACAATTGTATTAAGTTTATTGACGGATCACTGATTGGTGGCACTGAAACTGATGAACTCGGTATTTGTTAGTAAGCGTGTTTCACACTGATGAACTATATGACTATGATTATGAGTGCAAGCTGGTCTTCATTGCCTGTCTGTGTGTGTGTGTTAGTAGGCAGGTCAATGCATTGTGTGTGTGTGTCTTATTTTCATCTTTGTTGCGATGCTGAGGACAGTTCCCCTTCTCAGCCTTTGCTCCAAGTCAGTTGGCTTTTACTGTTTTTCAGGACAATCCTTAAACGATCATCATGCAGATCGGACTTTAAAGAACATCCAAAGGCTTTGAAAGATATTACTTCATTCATTATTATTACATATGTTATACATGTTATACGTTCTGTAGGGCTGCTCGATTATGGCAAAAATGATAATCACGATTATTTTCACTGAAATTGAGATCTCAATTATTTGATGATATTTATTTAACAATAACAATGTGTTGAATAATGACTTTAAAGATTGTCAAAAATAATATAAAATAGTGTGAAAATACTGATAACAGTGCAAATGTTTGCAATATAAAAAATAAATGAAAAATGTAAACATCTATGTTTAGTGAACTTTGCAGTGTTGCTCTGTGGTGCAGCTACGACACCGTAGCAAAGTTTACACACTGTGTCTACTTGATCCACGTCTGACTCTGCGAACCCATAATGTTTCCAACCACTGAAGTTTTTTTTTACCTCTCTTTTCAACCAACAGCAGTCACTCTCCTCTCCAAATAACTTCTGCTTAGCTTCCCTCGGTCCTCTTAATCAGCGGTCCCCAACCCCCGGGCCTCGGACCGGTATCGGTCCGTGAGTCGTTTGGTACCGGGCCGCGAGAGTTGAGGCTCAGGTGTGAAATGTATAGTTTTCAGGGTTTTTATTGGTTTTCAGCGTTATTTTGTTATTGTTTTTATCGTTTACTCGGTTTTCCTGGGTCTTTTCACTTGTGTTATGAATAAATTTTCTTTTTTTCGGTACCGGTACTAGTTTTATTTTGTTGTATTTATCCGCGACACCTTAAAGGCCGGTCCATGAAAATATTGTCGGGCATAAACCGGTCCGTGGCGCAGAAAAGGTTGGAGACCGCTGCTCTTAATGGTTGTGACACGTGTTCGAAACGCAGAGAGGTGCGCTCGATTTGCCACACGGAGCAACGCGAGAGTAAAGCATGAGGGAGGGGCTAATAATCGGCTCAGTCATTTTTAATGATCGTTGAAAGCCCAGATCGTAATCGAGATTAAAATTCGATTAATTGAGCAGCCCTAACGTTTTGTATATAACAGTATTCATAACTGCTGTAACTGGTCCCTTTATTATATTTGTCTATAAGGTCATTGTGATGAAGTTTATCTTTGTAGAAATGTGCTTGTGAATGACATCAAGTGACTGTGTTTCATCAGGCTCTGCTGTTCAACCCAGCCAAACCCTTCTGGAGGGGAACGGGCAGTCAGAATGCTGATGTGGAGCTCATGATGGATTGCTTTGTGTCCTGTTTCCGCATTAACCCTCACAACAACCAGCACTTTAAGGTAGACAGGAAAAAAGTGATATTCATTTTCTTGTATGGCATGTTAACCTTTGCTTGAAGGTGCATGACATGAGAAGTTTCCTGTAAATCTCGGGGTGCTTCCTCTTTGTCTTATAGGTCTGCCTGGCCTCATCATCCCCTTCCACCTTTCACTTTGTCCTGGTCAACTCGTTACATAGAATAATCAACAATGTAAGTTTGCATAGGCTCGTACATCAGTGGTCCTGCAACAGTTTGAAGTGTTCTGTGACTTACACTCGTCCTGTGTTTTATTTCAGTCCCACCTGGACTGGTGGCCTAAGATCGATGCAGTATACTGCCACTCTGGAGAGCTTCGCTTCATGTTCTCAGACACCCTCAACCGTGTAACCCAAGGCACTGGCACACATGCCCCACTACGCATGACTCCGGTGAGAAGGCATAAGGATATTGTAAACTGTTTTACTTATTTAAACAAACTTGTCTGAAGGTCAGAGAAAGCATGCCTCAACTAAACATGGCAAAAGACAGAAACTGTACTATTACAATAAAGAGTCAACTCTGTAATATAATTATACATGTATATAATTACACTTGGCTACTAGTTACTGCTATATTGTCTTTTCTCTCTCTCTGCTGCCTGCTACAGAGTCTAACATTTATTGGAAAGAAAACCACCAGCCTTAAGTTCAAAGAGAAAGCCACAGATTTGGACACTCGAAGTTACAAGTGCCTCCTCCTTGCTCTGGTTAAACTCATCCATGCTGACCCCAAACTCATGTTGCATGTGAGTCCCTCTACATTTATGTTGGACTGTCTTATCAGCTAGAAACAACTGATATTTTTTCTTTGTTTAAACTGGTACAAAAATATCTTTCGACTTCAATATTTTGCAAGTATGCTCATATTTTTGTTTGTGTCATTGTGTATCAGAATCCAGTGAAACAAGCTCCAGAGATGCAGAGCAGCACAGCAGAGCTCATCACTGGCCTTGTGCAGCTGGTGCCGCTAACCAACAGTACCCAGCTCTCACAAGAAGCCATGGAGGTCAGAGTCCAATGCTCAATGCTCGGTGCACTTCCTACAGATATTTAAAATGAAAAGCAGGAATAAAAGGGAAAAAACTCCTTTCATCTATTGAAATGCTTTCAGTTTTACACATGTGAATGTTCACATGACTAATAACATCCAGTCGGTAGGCTGAGCAGGACTTTGCTATCCCTAATACCATTCGGCTCTCTCTCTCTCTAAAGTCTGTTGTCTTGCTGTTAGACAGACTCCAACTTTATAGTTGTTGACTGTAGTTGTTGTTGTCTCCTATTTCAATTTAAGAAAGTATTTTCTATGTTCTGTGGAAAACACAAACATATAAAACAGGAAAAAACAATGAAAGAGCTAGTTGAACTTATATGATCACACAGCTCAACCTATTTATTCAGCTTAAGGCTAAAGAACAATTTCAAAAATAGTTTTTTCTGAAAGTTCTGACCCAAAGTGATGATATCTCTTGAGGTTTGTCTCAAATTTTACACAGTCTCACGGTCTCTGGAATTGTGGTAAATATCTTATGCAAGTTATTATAATAGAGATAGGAACTGATCTTTTTATTTTTTACTGTTAATCTTTACCTCTTCCTGGTTCTTTCTCTTAAGTCTAAAATCTCCTTCCTCTTGCTCTTTTGATTTCCAGGCTTTGTTAGTTCTGCACCAACCAGAGAACATAGAGCTGTGGAATCCTGATGCCCCCATAGAGACATTTTGGGACATTAGGTACAACAGTCTTATCTTTCATGAAGAAGCTAGAGATCTTAAATTTGCTCATTCCCATCAAGAATCAGCAATGTCCCAAAGGGTTGTGACTCATTTTCTTGCCTTTTAGTGAATTTGTTTTTATTTCATAACACAAACTACATCAAATTACATCCATCTGCTGAATATGTTTTAGAAGATTTTTTGACATTGAAGCATTACTATGTCTAGTCTATGCTGGGGCATAGAGTATAAAACAAAGTAGAGTCCCAATAAAAAGTTTGAGACCACTTGAAAAATTGCAAAAAAAAAAAAATCATATTTTTCATGGTTGAATCATAAAAAGGGTCCAAGTCGAACTTGAACATGAAACAAGAGGAAATGGGAGTGAGACACATACATCTTTTTGAGCGTGCAAAACTTAAACTGAAACAGCTGATCAAAGGTTTTGCAAAAATGTGGATTTGCAAGAGAGCACCAAACATGGGACATTGAAAGGTGGAAGAACGTTTTATTCTTTTACTTCGATGGTCCTGATTGTTTCCAATGTTACTGGCATGACAAGCAGATTCCACCTGAGCTGTTTTCTACCCACCACAGTGGAGGGGGCAGCATAAGGAGGTACAGGGTCGTAAAACGGCCGCTGGCTATGTCCAGATGTTGCAGAGAACATCCCTCATGACTAAGGGCCCAGGTCTGTGTGGTAACAACTGGGTTTTTCAACAGGACAACGCTACAGTACACAATGCCCACAGGACAAGGGATGTCTTCCAGGAGAATACCATCACTCTTTTGGACCATCCTGCATGTTCCCCCAATCTACAATGCAACTGAGAACCTTTGGGGATAGCTGGCAAGGGAAGTTTAAAAAAATGGACAACAGTTCCAGACAGTAGATTCCCTTCGTGCACCCGTCTTCACCACTTGGAGAAATGTTCCCACCTACCTCATGTAAATGTTTGCATCAAGGATTCCTGCAACAAAATTTGAAGTGATCAACAATAACGGTGGAGCTATTCATTACCGAGTTCATGTTTGGAATTTTGATTTCTGTTTTGGGGGGCCTACGGGGTTTTTTAGAGGTGTGGTCCCAACTTTTCATCAGCTTGTAAAACAGCCTGTTTCAGTTGAAGTCTTGTTTGCAATAAATTGCATGCTCCAAAAAATGCTTTGTCTCACTCCCATTTCTTCTTGTTGGATTTTGAAGCTCTACTTGGAACCTTGTTCAGATCCAACCATGCAACAAATGATTTTTTTGCTATTTTTCAAGTGGTCTAAAACTTTTGATTGGGACTCTATAGCCCCTTTTAATCTTTTTAGAACTGGTGAATTAAGTCAGGACACGAGATATGATGATGATCCGTCACAGTATGACCCTAAATGCATTGAGTTGCTTTCATGTGATTGGATGATTAGATATTTGTGCTAATAAGCAGTTCAACAGGTGTAACTAATAAATTGAGTGTACACAAGTAGGTTGGACTCAGTAAGTATGTTTGTTGGAACTTTTCCTCAAAAATGACCATTTAGTACTTATTTATATATGAAGTCGACAGTTTCAGATACTGTTAATGGAATTAATGGAAAATAATGGAAAGATGTGCATTTCTGAAAGGTGCTTTTATGTTGTTATAGTGTAAAAAAAAGCAGCACATACTCAGTTGATGTTATAAACATTGAAATTTACAGGACCGCTTGTTTATGTTCTTCTTTTCAGTTCACAGGTGCTCTTCCTAATTTGCCGCAAACTCATCGGTCAGCTAATTGTTAATGGGACAGAGGTTCTGAAATGGCTGAGGGAGATTCTCATCTGCAGGAACAAGTTTTTGCTCAAAAACAAGGTGCAGCCCCATTTATTTACGCACATTACTCTGGTATATGCCCCAGTGATCAGTCTAGTCCTTGCGAGATGTGTTTCATTGGCTTAGAACCAAGAAGGGTGATGATGTGATGTCCCACAAGGTGGGTATAACCAGGATGTTACTTGCTATTTTCAGGAGTGTGCCACCATGGGTGGTGGCATCCCCATCTGTCGGCAGGCACAGACAAAGCTAGAGGTGTCCCTCTACATGTTCTTGTGGAGCCCAGACACCGAAGCTGTTCTGGTGGCCATGTCTTGTTTTCGCCACCTGTGTGAGGAAGCTGATATCCGCAGTGCTGCTGACGAGGTGCCCGTTCAGACAATCCTGCCCAACTATGTGACTTTCAGTGAACTGGCATCTGTCAGCAACATGATGGGAACAGGTGAGTATGTTGCCTGTACCTTAGCTAGAAGTAATCCTCCAGTTTGGCTTCATGCCATCTAATGAATCTTTTCACATGAATAAATTCATGTGAAACTGCAACTGGCAAATAAAGGCTATCTCATCTCTCATCATCTCATCAAATTGTAATTTTGCTTTGATGCACAAAACAAACAAAAAAATTAACGGAAAACACGTTTTGATGCATGCTCAATCATCCAGGTAAGGAAATCCCAAAAAGTTGATTCTGTTCATCTGGACGTAGCGTTTTCAGTGGGAGAAACACTTTGTCACTCATACAAGTGACTTCTTCAGTTTCAGTTGACTGCAGGCTTTCCCAGCCTTATAAACGGTACATTTGCATAATGACCAAAACTATCGCCACTGATGTATTTGTTATGTGTCATAAACACCAGCAAAATACAAAGTGTGTCCTCAGCAGCCAGTGTGTGTCAGACAATTCACTCAAGCCGAGAAAAGCATCCAAATAGGATTCACATAAATATTAAACCAAAAGTTTCATATTTAGAGTCATCATTTGATTTTGAGTTCAGTTCTTATGTAATTTGGCACACCTACCACTTCATCTATCCTCCACTTGTTCAGTTTCTTTACATTTTTTAAGAACAATCTGCTCACCATTCTAATTTTTAATCTCTGCGAGAATCACCTTTGTGATGTGAAAATTCAATTTTTGTAGCTAGCAAACTGTGTTATCTTTGCTATTTTTAATGAAGAACAAATTTTATGACAGGCTGCAAGTAGTAAAGTGCCTAAAGATAATAGAAAAATGTTTTTTGCTAAGTTGTCTGCTGAGTTATGTGGCTTTTTTTCATCTTTGGTTGTTCTATGCATCAGTGTTATATGGCTTAACAAACAAAAAGAAAACAAACAACAAAAGAAAAACATTCCAGTGAAAACACTCAGATATAAGTGGACTGAAATCAGCAAAAAAGCAGTCAGTGTCTAAAGAAAGTCATTGAAAGACCTTACGAAATCCTGGAGAACTATTGCTGAGGACCACTCAAAAGAACCCTCTTATTTCTTGGAAGTAAAATATCAAGAAATGAGATTGATGCAAGACTCTTGCAAAGTACTGTATCGCAATATGACATCATTTATCAAAAACTAAGCCAAAATGCAAAAGCAGGGTCTAAACAATGAGCACACACTGTGATTAAGTAGTTTTTTTAGATCCTGCTTTACTCGGAATATCTAGATGTCATTGTTTTCTGTTTATATTGTCTGTAGTTCCCAAAATAGAAGTCTTTAAATGAAGGCTTTGTTCTTAATTCCACAGGCCGCTCCACCTTGCAGAAGAGGGTGATGGCTTTGTTGAGGAGGATAGAGCATCCTACACCAGGAAATATTGAAGTAACATTCAATTTACATTCATTTTCAGGGCTACTGATGTGCTTTTTGTTATTTTTGTAATCACCCTTCCCTGGTGACTTCTTGGTTGATTTATACAATATCTTCAGATCTCAAATTTACAATTTGTTAATGTTGTAGGCTTGGGAGGACACATACGCTAAATGGGACCAGGCCACCAAACAGATTCTCAACTTTCCCAAAAACAAGGCAGATGATGGACAGGTAAGGTATAGGGAAATGTGAAGTTACCGTCTCTATGTGTCACATCTTTGCTGGGAGAACCAGACCTAGTTTTACCTGAAAGCACAAAATACTAAGATAAAATATAAGAGCACTGCTAGTGAGGCAGTAGCAGAGGACACCAGTTTTTAGCAGGTATGGATTATTTACCAGCTCTGAATTCTACCTGATTGCGAATATTGTATTATATTCAGTAATCTTTACAAGCTTATTTATTTTGGAAACTGAATTATAATCCTAAACATTACAATCATTAAAACAGTCTCAAAGAATTCTGATTAGTCAAACTAAGATTTGGTGACGTGTTTGTTGCTGTTGATGTGAATTTTTGTTTTGAGACATTACTGAATGCAGACTTGTAACAAATAGCTTACCTGGTGTTGTGCCACTGGGCCTCAGTGTCTTTGTATCCCCCTGCAGCAGGAGTGGATCAACATGACAGGATTTCTGTGTGCTCTGGGCGGTGTGTGCCTCCAGCAGCGCAGCACCCCTGGCCCACCCACATACAGTCCACCTATGGGTTCCATGACTGAGCGTAAACACTCCATGATCTCTATGGGCCCTTGTGAGGTGTCCAACCTCATGACCTCCTCTTGCTCTTCGGCCTCGAGTGAGACACCTGTGAGCCGCTTCCTGGACCGGCTGCTGGCTCTGCTGGTTTGTGGCCACGACAGGGTGGGCCTCCATGTTCGCACCAATGTTAAGGATCTCCTTGGATTGGAGCTCAGTCCAGCTCTGTATCCCATGCTGTTCAACAAGCTCAAGAACAGCATTGGCAAGTTCTTTGACACTCAGGGACCGGTGAGTTCGTATTAAAGAGAAATAAATATTAAAAATTAGCCATTTGCTTAGGAAGTAAAAATGTGTCAAATAGTGGAGGAAAAATTAGAAATGTGGTTGTGTTGGGGGCGACCATGGCTCAGGGGGTTGGGAAGCGCATCTGTAACCAGAAGGTCGCCGGTTCGATCCCGGGCTCTCTGTCCTGGTC